CCCGCGTCTCCCGCGAGCTGGCGCTTTACCTCCGCCTCGGGGACGCACGGCCCGCCGGCCTGGCCCTGCGGTCCCGGCGCGCTGCCCTTGCCCCGAAGTCCGGCCCCGGACAGGTCAGCGCGCGGTGAGCGGGGTCCCGAGCTGTGGCCTCAGCAGCCTCCGGCTCGGCGGGCTGCCTGGCCGCGCTCCCGCCGCCGAGCGCGCACCCTCGCCGGGACACAGACGCACACTCACCGACACACACTCGCTCCCGCTCGCCCTCGGCGAGAGTTGAAACAGATGTGGGATTCGCCCAGGAGCTGGAAACGAGGGAGGGACGCGAGCCAGAGCCGTGTGTGCGCGCGAGTGTGTATGTGTGTGTGTGTGTGAGCGCCCCACACAGACGAGGGGGGCGTCTTTAATAAATCAAATATCGTAATAAAGTCGGGAGGACCATCGATCAGGTCCACTTGGCCGGAAACGAAGAGAATTGTTGCCTCCTTTTCGCTTTCCTTCTCTCCTCCGGAGCTGTAAGAAGCTAAGCGTTTCTTGGGGCGTGCGACAGCCCCAGCCCGGCGCTCCCCTCGTAATGACACGTTAATAAATGTTTTCTTCTATCTGCTCTCACAGGGGCTCACCCCTGTGTGCAAACGTTTACCCGACTGCCCGCCCTGAGCGCCCCGCGCTAGCCGGTATTCATTCACACACGTTTGCCTTTGGAGACACCGGCAGCTGGCCAGCCCCACGCTGGACCGCTGGAAGAGCTGCCCACGCACCCGGGACCTTCCCATGCGCCTCGGAAGCTCTCTGAGAAATAAACTTGAGCTCAAGTGAGAACTGGGGCGTCGCTCAGAAATCGCCCGAGACTAGGAAAGAAAGGAGAAACCGGCTTCCTACAAAAGGGGGGAACTCGACTCAAGGTGGTGCTGTCTGCCGCGGTTTCCACTGTCCCCAGCACAACAGCTGAGACCCAGGGGAATGGGGCTGGAAGGGGTGGACCTACAGCTAACCAAGAACCAACCAGTAGCTGCAGAAAATTCAGCTGAGCTGCTAAAGGGAAACAGATCCTTCTATAGAAAAACACTTGTGGGCAGTATAATCCATCTAAACCTAATACAGGGAAGTTGCCACTGCAATATACCCATTTTACAGACGTGGAAACCAAGTCACAGAGCAGTTACATTACTGGCTCAAGTCACACATAAGTGATGGATCTGGATTTGAACCCCAGAAACCCAGCTGCAAACAGTACTCTTACATACTAGCCAGTGGTCCACGGGTATCTCAGTGGGCTATTTGTTATCATGCAGAGTTCTAAAAGGTTGGTCCTTACTGCCCCTAGGTTATTGTCGCCATCATCCTCATCATCATCATCATCATCATCATCATCATCATCATCATCATCATCATCATTTTGGTACAGGGCATTGAACTCAGGACCTTGTGCTTGCCAGGCAGGTGCTTAAGCCATTGAGCTATCTTTCTCTGGCTGTCACTTTTAACCATGCTTAGAGTTGTCAGATTAATAGAAAACTCAGGATGTTTATGGGGTATGCTTATACTAGAAATCCTTTGCTTGTAAATCAAATTCAAACTGGATGTCCTGACTGGGTTGGGGGTTGCTCAAGGCCCTGGCTTTTGGTCTCCCTTCGGCGTCCCAAAGTAATCTAGGAGTCTAAATACTTCACAAAAATGCTTGAACTCGACTTTCTGAATCACCTGCTGGCCCCACTGCGGTGGCTGGTCTGGCAGAACAGTATCACTTGCAGTTTCACTTTTGTGGAACCCCCAAAATGTTGGGGTTCCTCCCTTTCTCTCCCCTCAGAAGGGATGTCAGACCCACTGTGTTGCTGTACCATATATGTATGCTGCTGGCCATGAAAATTCTCTAGTATTGGCCAATAGAAGGTAAAAAGAAACAGGTGGAATTAGTTTAAAACTATAGCTTCTTATTTAACCAATATATCCAAAGTATCTCTTTAGTATATATTCAATATAAAAATTATTAGTGAGTTTTTCTGCATTCTCTTTTCTTAATCTTTGCATGTGGTATGTATTTTCTTCTTAAAATACCTCTCCATCTGGACCAGCTGCATGTGGTTTAGTTCCGGTACTGGACAGCCCAGCTGCAGCAGGTCATGTGGGCAAGGGGCAGTGTTTCCACCAGTTCATCTGGAGTCTTTCAGGAAAGTGGCTGCTCAGAGAGGAAGGATCTTGCCAGAAGGCAGAGTTGGTGGGCTGAAATCCATGCCTTTTCAGGGGAACGTGGATCCCACTGCAGCTGCAGTGTTCTGATTGGTCCTTGGAACCCTGTGGGACTTTGGGTGGGAGAGGAAGGAGCCCTAGGGGAAGATCTGCATCTTGTTCCCTTTTATGTTAGGTTCTGGAGAATGTTTCTGGGCTGGGAGGATTTCCACTGCAGAGAAGTTCAAACAGCATTGTGTAGCCACACATTGCCTTTCAGGCCTCAAAAACAGGCTCTCCTTTCCCTAGCTGGCCTGCCACAGGTTCCTCCCTTGCCCTTTTCTCCCTTCAGCAGGGAACCTCAGCAAGGAGGGGGTGTGTGCAGTCCTGAGATGGTGTCACTCGATTATCTTGTAGATATGTACCTTCCCTATCCTTGCTGATGAAAGAGCTAAGTGGTGATGTCTGCATTTTGTCCCTGATCCTCCCTTAGGGAAAAGGGAAGGGACAGATCTGGTTTGTCAATGTCTGTGTACATTGTGTGCGCACAGGCTAGTGCTGTGTGTATACGGAGTGTTCCACTTGGGGACACATTCACCAGCGCAGACACCTGTGGGGGTAGAACATCTGCAAGGTACCTCACCTTGTGTCTCCCCACATCTCCCAGCAAACCCCAGGGTTCTCCAGGGCTGAGGCCTCAGCCTGCTACCCAGGTCCCCTTCAGACAGGTGGGAGCTGCTGGTCCCATTCAGTGTTCTGTGTCTGCCTGGAGGTGGGCAGGGCCTCACAGCTCATCAGGGGTCCTCTAGACTGAAGAATCTCTAGCCATGGCTCAGCCAGAGCTGGGGGAGGCTCTGCAGGATCTGAGGACCCTTGGAGTCTCCAGTCCCCGACGCCTGCGTCCCTGCTGTCTGGGACAGCCTTTCTCCTGTTGTCTCCCTTGAGCCCCGGGTGACATCTGTCCCTGTGATAGTCCTGGCTGGGTACTCCAATGAGGTCTTTCAAGCTCCGCAGGCAGCCCCAACTGTCCCCTATTGTTGTCTTAACCTTGGGGGACCTTTCTCCCGAAACCTCCATGCCTCATTTCTCTCTTCTGTGAACTCCACTGTGCAGGACACCTGCTGGTCCCACGGAACGGGCTGAGCTGGAGTGGCGCTGGCATTTCCTTGGCTTGCACACAACAGCGAGAACAACCATCTTGCCATGTGCCTCTCTCCACCTCTCCCTGAGAGGGTGCAACTCAATGTGACTGTCCCCGGCCCTTCTGGCTTGGTCCAGGTTGAAGTAGATGGGGTTTTTATGAGGGTTGTAAAAGGCAACCTTTTAACATGTCTCAAACAAATTGGTGTGTAAAGGAGAAACATTAAAAGTAGGAACCTGGTCACAGAAGGGCCCAGGCGAGCGAGCTGCCTGCCCGAGCTGGGGCACAGGTGGCTTTAATAATGCAGGCAAGTCTGGCTGAAACTTGCTTCTCCGAGAGCGGAGGAGCCTACAGTTAGTCTCCAGGGGTTGGGATCAGACTTCTCAGCTCCCGAGTTGGAGACGGTTTTGCATGGGTTTTCAAATACCAATTCCAGTTTCATCCATAACAATATAAATGTGTGGTTAATTCTGTGGAATTTTCAGTTAGACCCACCCTGTCCTGTCAGTAGAAATGCGCTGGCATTGGAGAAAAACTGTTTACATGTCTTGAGATACTGTGATAATGAAAAACAGCCCCATAAACCCCCATTAAGTCAGAAGAACACTAATTGTATTTCACGCTGCCTCCGTGGGCCAGCACACGGACACAGACATGCTTTGCTTCAGCAAAACCCGGCTAATCCCTGCAGCGTGCTACCCATTTTCTCCTTTAATTACACGTAATTGTATAGTCTAATTTATTCTAACGCCTGACACCTAAAAGTGCACGTTTATGAATCAAGCATTAGTTGGGAAGGGAAGATTATAAACGCCTATAATTGTAGTCTCCCGGGGGCTGCTCTGAGCGATCTCAAAGGGCGATGATGTTTACTCTGAATTCTTCCCAGGGAAAGACAGTGAGCCTGTCTCCAGTGAAGACAGTGTTCCAAGTCTCCAGATAACAGTGGCAATCTGTCTAGTTGCTTAATGACATACCAATAGTTCTCTTGGATAAACAAGCAAGGAAACTTAAACGTGGATTTCGCATTGTTGGTGACAGGACAACAACATCAGTGCTTACAGCAGTGCTGGTATACATATGATAGAATATTAATGAGAGTAACATGGCTCCAGGTGGCCTAGCTGCAGGTCTCTGTGGACAAGGGTGAGCTTGTGGGTTTTTGTCTTATTAAAGGGAAAACCAGGATTCAGTTAACCGTTGGTGCAATTCAATTTAAGGTTCTCACTGGAACAACATATCTAGTTTTATAATCATGTTACAAAACATCACCTTTCAGGGCCAGGGAGATAGCTCAGTGGCATAAGCAGCTTCCCTGGCAAGCGCAAGGTCCTGAGTTCAATCCCCAAAAAAAAAAAAAAAAAAAAAAAAAAAGAGTTTGAAAAACATCACCTTTCAGCTTTATTAAATTCATTGATTATGATTAATGATGGTGGGGAGTTAGTAAAAATGAGATGGTGACTTGGTCCTGAGGTTCTAACTGGGTTCCACCAGTACTGGAGCCTTCTTAGCTGAGCTCCCTCAGGCCTCAGTTTCCCTATTTAAAGTGGGGATCCTATCAGAGATCCTGCAGGTTGTCATATGCATTAGGTGGGGTGAATAAAGGTAATGCACATGCATGGAGTGCCTGGCGTGCGGCACATGCATAGTGAGGGTTCATTAAATCAGAATTGGAAACGTGCTCTCCTGGGCCCCGGGAGACCCTTCCAGGGCTGGGGGAACCATGCTAGAGAAATGCAGAGCAGTTGGGCTGGTGATATTAAAGCAAACCAGACTGTGCCACTTCCAAGCTTTGAATCCCCTCCTCTTAGATGGCAGCCTGAAATCCTGAGTGCAGTCCTGAGGTCTATGCAATCCTGCCCCTCCTGCCACTTCCAGCTTTTCTTTTTCTCTTGCTTCTGTTTTTAAAAAAAAAAAAAAAAAAAAAAAAAGTATTTATTTGGTACAGGGTCTCGCTCTGCAGCTGAGACTCCTATCTCAGCCTCCCCAGTTCTGGGATTACAGGTCTGCACCACCACCCCAGTTTTGGGGCTGGCACGGCATGCAGTACTGGGGATCTGAACCTGGGTCCTTGCACTTACCAGGCAGGTGCTTAGATCACTGAGCTATCTCTGTAGCCCTTGCTCCCCTATGCACGGCTCATGCTTTGCCTTA